CCCTCTCCCTTCCTCTCTGAAATCAATAAACATATATTTAAAAAATAAAAAAGTGTTAAAATGTAGCACAGTGTTTTGTAGATGCAGCCAGACACAGGATGGGCTGATGGGACTCCATGTGATGAACAGAGCCAGCTGCTAAGAAGGCATCAAATAGTGTGTATGAGCGATGGCTCAGCTTCCTCCTGGGGCAGAGCTGTGGGTGTGAAGCCCTGGACGTGCTGCAAGTAAGTAAAACCACCTTGTAGCAGCTGCATCTTGTTTTTGAACAGAACACCCCACGTGGCAGAGCCCTCGTGTTCCATACCAAAACCCGCTAGAGACAAAACTTCACTGTAAAAACAGGCAGATCCTGGCCAGTGTCCTCAGTGGTTAGAGCATTGACCCCAGCACCGAAGGGTCTCGGGTTCAATTGCCTGGGTTGCAGGTTCAATCCCCGGTGCCCAGGGCCCGTACCCAATGCAACCAATCCATGTCTCCCCTCCCTCCCTTCCACTGAAAATCAATGGGAAAATATCCTCAGGTGAGGATTGGCAAGAAAAAGAAAACCAAAACCAGGTAGAAGCTGGATTTGGCTTGCTGACCCTAAGTTACTGGCCCCTGATCTAAACACTCCATTTTCAGCTCTAACTGTCCATTCTCTTTTTAAAATATTTTTTAATTGATTTTTAGATAGAGAGGAAGAGAGAGAGAGAGAGACAGAAACATCAATGAGAGAGTCACACAGATTGGGTGCCTCCTGTACACACCCTACTGGGGATCAGGCCCTCAATCCAGACATGTGCCCGCGACTTCTTGGCCCATGGATGACCCTCAATCCACTGAGCCACACAAGCCAGACTACTGTCCATTCCCTTAAACACACCAGGCACACGGAAAAGGATGCTGTGTGGACCAGTCCTAAGGTTACTATGGCGTTGTGATCATTATGAGTGAAATAAACCACACCTCTTGGGGCCAGGAGGCCAGAATGTGCGTCCAGCTGGCAGTTTCAGAGCCAGAAGGATGACCCGCTCCTGCTCTCCGACCCCCCTTACCCACATACCCAGTCTCCCAGGTCCCTAGTGCCCGGAAGGGCACCAGCTGGCTGTGCTGGTTACTCAGCTGGGAGCGCACAGAACCAACCGGGGCCTGCAGCTGGCATGTGCCAAGGAGGCCCAGGACCGTCCCAGCTAGAAGTGTTAACTTTAAAAGAAACGCAGGAAAATAGGTGTACTTCTTCTACTACTCATAGATATTATTATTATTATCATTATCATTATCATTATCATTATTATTTTGTTGTTGTTAATCCTCACCCGAGGATATTTTTCCACTGGTTTTTAGAGAGTGGAGGAGAAAGGGGAAGTCAGAGAGAAACATCCATGAGAGAGAAACACATCGATTGGTTGCTTCCTGCACGAGCCCTGACCAGGGCCGGGGAGGAGCATGCCCTTGACCGAAATCGAACCCGGGACCCTTTGGACTGCCAACCGATGCTCTATCCACTGAGCCACACCGGCTAGGGCTAGTCCTCATAGATTTTATGTGGCCCACTGTTAGGCAGGGCTGTCCAGAGACACAAAACCAAGAGGATGCTGTGGGCCCAATCAATCCTGATGCTACATGCCAGCTCTGAGGGCTTAACCCTCTTTCTGCTAGAGCAGCGGTTCTCAACCTGTGGGTCGCGACCCCTTTGGGGGTCGAACGAACGACCCTTTCACAGGGGTCGCCTAAGACCATCGGAAAACACATACATAATTACATATTGTTTTTGTGATTAATCACTATGCTTTAATTATGTTCCATTTGTAACAATGAGATTGGGGGTCACCACAACATGAGGAACTGTATTAAAGGGTCGCGGCGTTAGGAAGGTTGGGAACCACTGTGCTAGAGGGTACGGGGTCCTGTAACTCCGCCATTGTCCTCAGTGAATAGTGTGGACTCTCGTGAGGAAACCAAATGCAAAGCTGGGCCACTTTGCCCACAGACAACGGCAGTTACCTGAGACACGGCCGTCCACACCCCAGCCCTGCGCTCTCGGGTTACCGCTACGCGTTAGCAGAGAAACACGCTCGCCTCTGTCGCCAGTGCTCACTCCTCGCATCTGAGCACAGACGCTAGCTTTCTGCATCCCGTAATAACCAGCGCCCACACCATCCCCTCCGATGCATGGCCAACGGGCGTGATGGTGGACGTTACAGAGGCTCTGGGCAGGGAGGGGTGGCGAGGGCCCCTGAAGAAGGGCACTTGAGGGGGGCGTTGCTGGGGGTGGGGCTGGCCACCCGCTACAATGGGGGTGGTTGGTTCTGGGCTGTGGTGAGAAGCAGACTCCCTTCGTCTCCAGATGCCAGGCTAGTCCTGTTGCCAAGGAAAATATCACTCGGGACACATTTCCTGCTCTGAGCACCAACAACCGCAGATCTCCCCTGAAATGTGATTTGTTCATTGCAAGAAAGTTCTCTTTCCTGGAGTCAGGCAGACAGCTTCCAGGCGGGGCCTCGTCCTCCACCCCCTCACCAGCCACCACACAGCCGCTGGCCAGGTGTCGCTGCCAGGATGCTTGCTTGAGGGGGATCAGACCCCGCCCGACCGGGGTGACGTGGTGGTTGAACGTTGACCTCTGAACCAGGAGGTCATGGTTTGATTCCCCGTCAGGGCACATGCCCGGGTTGGGGGCTCGATCCCCAGTGTAGGGCGTGCAGGAGGCAGCTGATCCATGATTCTCTCTCATCATTGATGTTTCTCTCTCTCCCCCTTCCTCTCTGAGATCAATAAAAATACATTTTAAAAAGAAGAGGGATTAGACCCCATTGTCAATGTCCTGATATTCCCGGGACTTGGCCCTCCTCTGGGACCAAGAGGTCCTTGTTGATTTCTGGAGATGATCTCAGGGGCCGTGGCCCCGCGGGGGAGCTGGGGCTGTTTGCTTAGGGAGGGGAGCGCTTAATAAACTCGCGCTGGGGTTCTGAGTATCTGCGGGAAGCCAGGTCCCCAAATGTGGCCGATTGTAAACGTGCTCTCAGGGTGGAAGGAACACAGGCTGGGCACCCCTCCTGCTGGAGCGACCCGGACACGTCTGGGGAGACGGGCGTGGGACCCCGGACCGAGCGGGGTGAGGGACATCCACTGCCTGGGAGGCCAGCGCCAGGGGCGGCGGGTGCAGTTGCGCGGTGAGCCACGTGACCAGCCTCCCTCTGCCAGCCCTGAGGCATGTTTTCCTTTAAATGATTAAACTAAGTTGAACTTCGTTCAGGAAAAAATTTTCCATCTGAACACTTTTTTCCAGGCTTAGAGCGCTTCAAGATGAGGTTTGTTTTTCTTAAAGAGAAACCTTGTATCGACAGCGTCCCACACCTGTGGACTTAGCGCACCCAGCACCCGGCACCCAGCACCCAGCACCCAGCACCCAAACGATATCAAATCACGCATTTGGCCCGGCTCCTCCATCGGGCTGGTTAAGACAGCACATGGAAAAAGGAATGAGAAAGAGGCAGGAGAGCTATACATTCTTCCTCGGCCTCTTGGTAATACAGCCAAATGGCTCTGGACTTGAATCCCATGTTTGTCCCATGTCCTTGGGCATGAGGTTCACTCCTGAAATGGAGGGTCTGGCTGTGAAGGTTAGTGGAGATTTCACGTGGACAATCACGCTGCCATCAGCCTGAATCCGGGTTAATGTCACGTCAGGACAAGTGGGTGAAACCCGGGGTGTGAGCCGTCCAGCTTCGGGAAGGAAAGCGGGGGGGGGGGGGGGGGGGGGGGGGGGGGGGGGGGGGGGGCAGTGGGAAGGGGAGGCCGCAGCCCAGTCCGGGAAAGGCAAGCCCGACCCACGTCACATCACCCGGCTGCACCTCACAGCCCGGAGCGGTCCTGCTCTTATTTTGCACTTAGTTCACTTAAAAAACAATAGGGTTTTTCTTTCTTTTACTCTCCCAGACCAAGAGCTAGAATGAATCATGATCAGTAGCTTCTCTGGTTTCCTTTGCTTTTTTTCTGGGGGGAGAGGATACCTTTTCTGTCTCCCTCCTTTACATTTTTTCTTTCCCCACCGTGATTACTTCTTTTTTTTTAAATCCTCACCCCAGGATATTTTTCCATTGACTTTTAGAGAGAGTGGGAGGGGGAGAGGCAGAGAGAGAAACATCCATGTGAGAGACACATGGACTGGTTGCCTCCTGCACGGGCCTGACCAAGGCCCAGGCAGGGGAGGAGCCTGCAGCCGAGGTCTGAGCCCCTGACCGCGATGGAACCCAGGACCCTTCAGTCCGCAGGCCGACGCTCTATCCACTGAGCCACACCGGCCAGGGCCGGGGTTACTTCTTGATGAGGTTTTGAGCGGAGGGAGAGGAACAGAGCCTGAGGGTGGGGACCGGGTGCGCGGCTGCAGGTGCGCCCTGCTTCCTCCTCTCACTCGGAGGTGCCTGAACCGCCCCGCCGTTTGGGGAACGCGGAGCTGGGAGAGGGGAAGGCACCCACCGCCTCTGAGCCCCAGGAGGGCGAGGCTGCGGGGTCACCTCTACACCTTCTCCCAGGCGACGACGGGGCTGGCAAGGAGGGGACCCCGGGCGGGGGCGGGGTGCAGAGCGGGGAAGGCGGCGGTCACCCCGCCCCAGTGCCCCCACCCGGTTACCCCGCCCCCGATCTCGTGGCCCCGCCCACTGCTACCCGACTCGGACCGACCCGGCCCCCGGCACCCCCAAAACCAGCGCCCCCCGACCCGTTCACCCCCGCCGCGCCCCCTCCCGCGTCCCCGCCCCGGCCGCTCCCACGGCGACCGGTCTGCGCGGCGGGCGCACCATGGGCAGCGGCAGCAGCCGGAGCGGCCGGGCCCTGCGGCGGCTCCGCGGCCCCGACAGCCGGCCAGCGGGGTCCGGCGGGGCAGCCCCGGAGGGCGGGACGGGGGCGACGGGGCCGCCGGCCTCGGCGACGGCGGGGGCCCGGGAGGAGGTCCCCCAGGCGGCGGCGGCGGCGGCGGCGGCGGCGGCGGCGGCGGCGGGCGCCTGACCGGGCCCTGACCCCGGCCCCGCAGCGCCCTCCGACGGCCGGGACGAAACCCTGCGCCTGCTGGACCAGCTGCTGGCCGAGTCGGCGGCCTGGGCCCCGGGGGAGCCGGCCCCGCGGCGCCCGGCGCGCCCCCCACCCGCCGCCGGTGCAGGGAGCCGGGTGAGTGTCTGCGCCGCCGCCCCGGCCCTCCCCGCCGCGCTCCCCAGGCCTCCGGCCCCCAGGCCTGCACGGTCACCCCCTCCGGGTGCTGGTTGGCCGCTCCGTGTCGGGGTGACAGTGCTGGGCGCAGCCCTCCCTCGGCAGAAGCGCGTCCCTCGGGCTTTCTTGTGGCCCAAACTCGCCTTTCTTTGCCCTGGGAACGGGTCCGCCGCTAAGCACGCACCGGCATCAGCGCCCTCCAGCCGTGCGAGCGGACGGGGTGCCCCCCAACACTTGGCAGCCCCGGGAGTGCGGGCGGAGGGGGTGCGAAGCGCTGGGGCCCGTAGCCACGCAGTGGCTCCCAGATGCCCGCGTGGCAGCCCCCGGCGGAGCGGAGCGGAGCGGACAAGGTCTTCACCAGCAGCTCCCGGCGGGCCTCTCCCCGCAGCCCCACCCGCAGGCGCCGCCTGAGCCGGGCCAGGGGAGCGCCCTCCCGGGCAGCCCTGGGCAGCGGGCCCTGAAGCCGCTGGAGGCTGGGCGAGGGCCGGAGAGCGGCCTCCCGTCCGCCCGCTGCCCCGGAGCCGCTGCAGCTCAGCAGCTGGACCGCCCAGCAGGCCCCCCAAGGCTGCATCAGCGCTTATGTAACACGGACCCGGAGCCGGGGGAGCCGCTGGGATCCTGCGCTCGCACGGAAGCAACGCTCAGCGCCCGCTTCTCCCGCGCTTTGGGAACTTGGGTGTGAAAACAAAATGCCCCCCCCCCCCGCCCGCCGCCCCCGCCAAGTTGCTGGTACCAGCCGCTCCGGGGCAGGGCCGCCTCACTCATCCTTCCAGTCCCTTCTCAGGTGCTGTTCGGGCTCCCGCTGTGTGCGGGCGGGGGGAGCTCTGGGTGCTGGAGAGGAACACAGATGGCCGCTGTCCCTCCTAAAGAAGCCCGCGGTCTAATGGTGGGGGCGGAGGGCGATCTGCAGGCAGGAAGTGGAGGCAGTGTGGCCTGGGGTCTGTGTAGAGTCTGCAGGGCCCCGAGGCTGGCTCAGGGGTTGTGCGTGGACCTCTGAGCCAGGAGGTCACGGCTGGATTCCTGGTCAGGGCACAGGCCCGGGTTTCAGGCTCCATCCCCAGTGTGGGGCGTGCGGGAGGCAGCCGGTCAGTTACTCTCTCTCATCATTGATGTTTCTCTCTCTCCTTTCCTCTCTGAAATCAATAAAAATAAAAAATAACTTAAAAAGGGGTCCGCAGGAGAAGCAGCTGAGCCCTGGAGGAGTCAGCCGGCCTTCCAGGACAGGCTCGGCCTGAGGCTGGGGGGGCCTGTGCATGAGCCAGGCAAACAGGCGGAGGGAGCACTGGGGCAGAGAGAACCCCGTGTGCAAGGCCATGGCGGCCTGGTGGCGGGGACACAGGTGGCTGGGGTGTTGGCTGCTGTCTGTGGTCGGAGGAAGCTGGCCTGTGGGGGCTGGAGCAGAGCCTCAGGGCCTTGCCAGATGCCAGAGGGGGCGGTGGGGGGGGGGGGGGGGGAGGTGGCCGCGAAGTGCTGGGCATGGGAAGGTGTAGAATGAAGTGGACAGGACGTTGCTGGGCATGCACTACCCCGAAAGATGCTGCCGAAAATGTGGCCCAGGAGCCCGAGTTCCCACGGGGCTGGGATGAGCCCTAACCGGACTCTGGTGAGAGGGTCAGCAGTGCTTTGGCCGGGATGGAGATGCTCCCGGGCCTGAGGACCAGAAGCCGTCACCAGGGAGGGCGGCCCCGGCCCAAGGCCACCACCTCAGGTGGCTGGGCTCTGCCGAGAGCCGGTGGGCAGGGCCCGTTGGTTTCTGTTTTTGGTTAATCCTCACCTGAAGGTATCGTTCCGTCCATGTGTAGACAGTGGAAGGGAGGGGAAGAGACAGAGAGGGGGAAACATCGATGTGAGAGAGACACATCGCTTGGTTGCCTCCCCTGTGCGCCCCAACTAGGGCTGGGGATCGAGCCTGCAACCGAGGTACGTGCCCTTGACTGGAATCGAATCCGGGACCGTCCAGTCTGCCCATTGAGCCAAACCGGCTCGGGCCCCTTGGGTTTCCTGAGAGTTTGAGGACCCCAGATGGCTAAGATGAAGGGACCTTAGCAGCCGCCAAGGGCTGCTTCGCATTCACATTAGAGGCCTTGGGGCCTAGCAGGGCGATTGCCCAAGCACCCCCCCCCCCCCAACACACACACACACAACCTCCCCAGACCAGGAGCCAGGCCAGGTCAGCTGCCTCTGGGAGCGAGGGTCTGGTCAGGGAGCACACCCAGGGTGGAGCACGAGTCTAGCTAAGCACTCAGTGAGTGTTCATTGGCTGGAGGCTTGCGAGAATTATGTGAAAATATATGTGAATGTGCTTTTTTGTTTTGTGTTGATCTTCCTGACCCGAGGATATTTTTTCCCATTGATTTTTTAGAGAGTGGAAGGGAGGGAGAGAGAAAGAAAGAGAGAAACATCAATATGAGAGACTCACCGATTGGTTGACTCCTGCAGGTGCCCTGGCTGGGGCCAGGGATCGAACCTGCAACCCAGGTATGTGCCCTTGACCAGGAATCGAACCCACGACCCTTTGGTGCAGGGGCTGATACTCTAACCATTGAGATACACAGACCAGAGTGTGAATGTGCTTTATCAAGTGACAAAACACTATGTGAGCGTCATTTATTGTCACTTTCCTCCAATCCCGCCCCCTTCAGCGTCTGTGGGTCCCCCCGAGTTTCTCTCTTTGGAAACACGTTCCTGAAGGCCAGGTCTTGGCAGGGAGGCAGAGGCCCTAGGACTGTGGTCTCAGAGTCGGGAGCCTCCTTTTGAAAGTCCTTTGTCATTTTAGCAACTTGTAAAGCAGCTCTCTGAGCGAGGTGCCCCTGGGCCCACAGCTTCTGCTTGCCTGGGAGGCCTGTAAGCTCCCTCTGGTGGTGAGAGGGCCGAACCGGATTGGCAAAATTTGGTTGAAATCAGCTGAGGCTGAGGTACCCGGAGGTGGAGGTGGGAGGTGGAGGTGGAGGTAGGAGGGAAGGAGGTGGAAGTGGGAGGTGGAGGTGGCAGGTAGGAGGGAAGGAAGTGGAGGTGGGAGGTGGAGGTGGAGGTGGGAGGGAAGGAGGTGGAAGTGGGAGGTGGAGGTGGCAGGTGGGAGGGAAGGAGGTGGAGGTGGAGGTGGGAGGGAAGGAGGTGGAAGTGGGAGGTGGAGGTGGAGGTGGGAGGGAAGGAGGTAGGCTGCAGAGTGGAAGGACGCATTTAGTATCTTCATTGCAGTGACGGGTTAACAGGTGTATCCACATGTCAAAACCTACCCAATTGTATCCTTCAGACTCCTGCCACTTGTTCTGTGTGAACACATCTCACTGACAGGTGTGTGCGTACACAGGGTGGGGCACAAGGAGGTTTTCAGCTGTGAGGACGAGCAACAGTTTTTTCCTTGTATTATTATTTATTGTATTATTTTCCACACGAGCAACTGTAAACCTATTTCTGCCCCACCCTGTATATACATATAAAAGTGCCAAGAGCTAAGGGGAGGACTCTTTAGATAGAAGAAGGCTAGAATACATTTTGGTAAGATACGTAGTGGATTTGCTAAAGATTAACTGTTGATATTCCACTATTCTAAAAATACGCACCCTGCTTGTACGGAGAGCCCGAGGAGACTGCAGAGGCCGTCTTACTCACCCCTCCTGCGGGGTGTGGTCTCACACAGCCTCCCTGGGGTTTATTATTTTTAAAATATATTTGTATTGACTTCAGAGAGGGAGAGAGAGAGAGAAACATCAGTGATGAGAGAGAGAAACATCAGTGATGAGAGAGAGTCATGGATCGGCCGCCTCCTGCACGCCCCCCACTGGGGATCAAACCCACAACCCAGGCCTGTGCCCTTGACCGGCATCGAACCCGGGACCCTTCAGTCCATAGGCCAACGCTCTAGGCCAGGGGTGGGCAAACTTTTTGACTCGAGGGCCACAATGGGTTCTTAAACTGGACCGGAGGCCGGAACAAAAGCATGGATGGAGTGTTTGTGTGAACTAATATAAATTCAAAGTGAACATCATTACATAAAAGGGTACGGTCTTTTTTTTTTTTTAGTTTTATTCATTTCAAATGGGCCGGATCGGCCCGCGGGCCGTAGTTTGCCCACGGCTGCTAGCCACTGAGCCAAAACATGTAGGGCAGGGTTTCAAGTGACAACATGCCCCGCCCGGCCCTGTGGCCCAGACACCGCGCCCTCCCTGAGCTCAGCCAGGTTCCCACGCCCGGCCCGGCTCTGCCCTCCTTGTGTCCAGCTGTCTGACCAGGTGGCAGCCCGCCAGCTGTCTGTGGTGGACACTTGTGGAGCAGCCACCAGGGGCCGCTGTGTCTCTGCTTCCCATCCACGCTCCCCTTGCCCCTTCTGCAAGCTGTACGTCTGGCAGGGCGCCTAACATCGCCCATCAGAGGCCAAGTCAGCGTGGAGGCCGGGGAATCACTGAGGAGAGTGTGCCTACCTTCTGGACGCAGCCTTAGGGTGTCCAGTTCACGGGTGTGATGGTGTGCGCGCCGCCCCTGCCCCGCGAGGCGCCAGCCGGGCTGCCGGTGCAGATTCTGATTCCAACCTTGTGCTCTTCCGCCCCGTTGTGCTCCTGACGGGAGAAACTGTATCTGTAACACCCCTCACAGAACCTGGCGGCGAAAGGAAAAGCCACCCCAGGCGACGGCAAAAGCTGGGCCCAGCAGAAACTGACCGGCGGGCACTGAGGGTAACCTCACAGAAACGGCTGGAGGACCGTTGGGCAGAAGTGTTGTTTTTCTTCCCTGTGGCCCCTGAGGATATATCCAGGCCCGGGAACTGGAAGCCCGTCTCACACGGAGTCCTGTGCACCCATGTTCAGAGGGCGTTAGTCACAACCGCCAGAGGGCGGAGGCAGCCCCCGTGTCCATCGGCGACGGGTAAACAAGATGCATAAAGAACATACGGTCCCATCACCATGAGAGGTCACCTCGCACCTGTCAGAATGGCTGTCACCCATAAGCCAACCAGCGCTGGGGAGGAGGCGGAGGAGAGGGGCCCTGAGCACTGCTGGTGGGAATGCAGCCGCATGGAAACAGTACGAATTTCCCCCCAAAACGAAACACCGATCTGCCTATGACCCAGTGATTCCACTTCTGGGTAAACAGCCAAGGAAACCTAAAATACTAATTCAAAAGAATACATGCCCCCTATGTGCACTGCAGCATTATTTTTTTTTAATTTTAAAAAATATATTTATTTATCTTTTACAGAGAGGAAGGGAGAAGGATAGAGAGTTAGAAACATCGATGAGAAACATTGATCAGCTGCCTCCTGCACACCCCCCACTGGGGATGTGCCTGCAACCAAAGTACATGCCCTTGACTGGAACCAAACCTGGGACCCTTCAGTCCGCAGGCCGACGCTCTATCCACTGAGCCAAACCGATCAGGGCCACTGCAGCATTATTTACAACAGCCAAGGTATAGAAGCAGCCCAAGTGTCCATCACTAGACAAGTGGCTAAAAATGCTGTGGTACATCTACACAACGGAATACTACTCGGCCCTAAAAAGAACTCTTTTTTAAAAAATATATATTTTATTGATTTTTTACAGAGAGGAAGGGAGGGGGATAGAGAGTTAGAAACATCGATGAGAGAGAAACTTCGATCAGCTGCCTCCTGCACACTCCCTACTAGGGATGTGCCCAGCAACCAAGGTACATGCCCTTGACCGAATCAAACCTGGGACCCTTGAGTCTGTAGGCCGACGCTCTATCCACTGAGCCAAACTGGTTAGGGCAAAGAATTAATTCTTAACTGTTTTCAACAGCATGGATGGACACAGGGTATTATGCTAAGTGAGATAAGCCAGCCAGAGAAAGACAAATCCCATATGATTTCATTTATATGTGGAATCTAAACAGCCATATAAACAAACAAAACCGAAACAGACTCCTAGACACACAGAACAAAGTGATGGTTGCTGGGTGAGGGGAGGGTGGGGGCTGGGTGAGAAAGGTGAAGGGATTGAGAAGTGCAGACTGGCAGCTACAAAACAGTCGTAGGAATGAAAAGTACAACATAGGGACTATATCAGTAATAGTAATGGCTGTGCATGGGTGCCAGGCGGGTGCTAGAAAGATCAGGGGGGACACTTTGTAAAAGATGATTATCTAACCACTAGGCTGTACACCTGAAACTAATACAAAATAATATTGACTGTAAACTGGAAAAATAAGAATTTTCTTAAGAAAAGTGGTACAGTCGTCCGTCGGTGTCCATGGGGGTTGGTTTCAGGGCCCCCGAGACACCACAACCTTCAGATGTTCTAGTCCCTTCTTTAAAATGGTGCAGTGTTTGTGTATAACCTGCGCACAACTTCCCAAATAGTTTAGACCAGCCGTGGGCAAACTACGGCCCGCGGGCCGGATCCGGCCCGTGGAGCCGAAAGAGCGGAGGGTTCTCTTGCTCTCCCCTCCGCTCCTTCACCAGCAGCGGTGTTAACATGTATTAGCTCACACAAACACTCCATCCATGCTTTTGTTCCGGCCCTCCGGTCCAGTTTAAGAACCCATTGTGGCCCTCGAGTCAGAAAGTTTGCCCACCCCTGCTTTAGACCATGGCTGGGTTAGTATAACACCTAATGTCATGCAAACGCTGTGTAAACGGTCGTTATACTGTGTTGCTTGGGGAAAACCCTGACTGTGCTCATTGCAAACACAACCACTGCAGCCTCTCTACACCGTGCACGTCAGCAACGTGAGCTGCTTTTTCTATGTTCCACCTGTTGGCTGGATCTGGATGCAGAACCCGCGGGGACGGAGGCCGACCGTACACACATACAGGGGATGTTGTTCAGCCCTGGGCTGAACGCGGTGGCCATCGGTGTCACAGAAAGCCGGGGCGGTGGGAGGCTCGCCACCGGTTACCCTCTGATGCCTCTTCCTTCTGTCCTTCTCAAGGTGTCCCCGGAGCACAGAGCGGAAGACCCCCCGGAGAGCCGCAGCGCGTCCGAGTAAGTCCGGGAGTCACCTGCTGCCGGACTCCGGCTCTCCGGTGGGCTCCAGCTGCCCCATAGCCTCAGGGCCCCCCCCCCCCCAACAGCTTCCTCTTAGAATGCAAAGCTCTGCCTGGGGAGGGGGGGAGCACGCGGAGGGGGCAGGCCCCAGCCCTGGGACAGTGCAGAACCTCCCAGTCCCAGCAGCTGTGACCCTCCTGAAAAAGGCCCTGACCCAGTCACTCAGGCGTCCCGGACCCGCCCCTCCCGGTCGCAGCCTCACCGTCACCCAGGATGAGACACTGACCTTGGCCTTTAGGAGTTTACACCCAGAGGGGAACAGATGGGCCCCTCTAGTCCCAGGAAAACACACTTAACCCCTGGAAGGGGTCCGCTGAGGACCCAGAATGGATGCCCTGGGACTCCTGCTCCCCTCTGGCTTGTTCAAGAGACCCTGGCGCCCTTGGGGTCTGTGAGGTGCCCCCCCCATTCCGAATGCCTTGCCCTGGCCACCTTCCGCGAGCCCCCGAGGGGAGAGCAGGGACAGGAAGTGTCAGGGGCTTTGCTGGGACCTCTCTGCCCAGCACTTCCAGGTGCCACGCTCCACGCTAGACACACAGCATTCAGCATCTCGGCTCACCCTCAGTCGGCTTGTGGGGCCACCCCACCCTGTCCCCCGCAGCAGCTCCTGTGGGACCCCCAGAGGTGGGGGGTCAGGGAGCATCAGGCCAATGGCTGTGGCGCCCCCCCCCCCAACACTTGCCAAGGGCAAGACTGTGTCACACGCTGTCCATGCATTTTACCTCATTTCTGCCTCAGAAGGAACCTGTGAAGACAGCTCCATTTTAGAGAAAAAGAGGTCCCTGAGCTAGTAAGTGGTGCAGCCAGGACCGGAACTGGGCCCGGAACTTGGGCCCTGGCTCGCTGCAGGCAGGGGCAGAGGCCTGCTCGCGGAGAGGGGGTTCCGGGAAGGTGTCCCCAGGGCCGGGCTTCCTGGTTTTGGTCATGGGATGAGCAGAATCCCCTGGCGGGGCCATGGGGCTCCCCGGGAGAGATACCGAGTCCCACGGCCACGCCTCGCCTCCTGACACCGTGTCTGTTTCCGGCCGCAGAGCCCCGGGCAGCAGCCAGGAGAGGCCGGAGAGGCGGTCGGTCATCTTGTACGACTGCTCGGAGGAGGAGCTGATGGCCAGCATCGAGCAGGAGTACTGCCACTGAGGCCCCGCCGACCGGCCTCCGGGACCTGGGCTGGGGGTGCACCCTGCCCGTCCCGGGCGCGAGCTGGAGCTGAGCTGCTGCCCACGGGCAGCTACGCACGGACTTTCAAGCCGTTTCCCACCCACATCAGAGGGTCCGGAGCTCGCCAGCCGCCGGCCTGCGTGCTGCTGCCGGGAGGTGGTCATGGGGCGGCCGGAGGGAGTCACCTGAGTTCCGCAGGTGAATGTCCTGGAGATGAAATGCAGATTCTGACTGGGGGGGGGCCGAGGGGGCCTCCGAGCCCGCATTTCTGCATTTCTAACGGCTCCCAGCCTCCCCTGAGGAGCGGGGCTGATGGAGCCTGTGCAGGAGGCTGCCTCCCAAAGGGATCCCGCCCGCTGGGCCTCAGTTTCCCTCCCTGGAAGGGAGTCCTGGAGGCTCTGCCCACTCTGACAACTGGGGTCGCAGGGTTCCAGCTCCCTGCCTGCCTGGTTCCCACCCACCCTGGGCACAGGAACCCCCCCTGGCCACGGAACCGCCCGCCTGGAGAGGCCTGCGGGGCCCCCGGCCCTCACCTGGCCGGTGCTGCGGGGCCTGGTCCCGGCCTCCCCGGCGGAGGGAGCAGACATCAGCAGCGAGGCCGGAGGAGACTGACAGAGACAAGGCTGCCTGCCCAGGACGCCCCTCCATCACAGGCAGGGCCCGGACTGCGGCCTGACGGGCAGGCGGGGAGGCGGGACTTCCGGCGTGGCCCAGGTGTGCTGCTCCCGGAAGCGGAAGCGCAGGGGGAGGAGTGGCCCGGAAGCCCCGAGACCGGCCCCCGGAGCGCTGGTGAGGGCCGCCCGCGAAGGGGCACGTGGCGGCCGGAGCCGGAGGAGGTCTCCGCCGGTCTCGCGTTTACCACCAACAGCTCGGCCTGCCTGGCGTCGCCCGCCGAGCGCACGAGCATCTCGCCCGACGGACCACAGCCCGTGCCGTGGGGCAAGCGGGCGTTTCCGTGAACTCGGCTCTGTGATCAGATGGTGCAGAGCTCGGAGTCAGGCCGGCGCCCGGGGGCCCGGGGGGTGGCCCAGAACCCCCCCAACCAGAGCTGCCCTCCCCACGCCCAAACCCTCTCTTCTGACAAGACGATTAAAGCCGTTACTATTTTAGTGATACTGAGGCTCCTTTTAATGTTGTTGTGGTACGTCCTCACCCACAGGTGTTTGATTTTAGGAGAGGGAGGAGGAGCATCAGTGAGAGAGAGAAGCGGCAGTCCGCCGCCTCCCACACGCACCCGTCCTGGGACCCACCTGCAACCCAGGGACGGGGCCAGTGGGAATCGCGCCCACAGCCGTGCGGTGCCCAGGGCAGTGCCCCAGCCAAGCGAGCCACCGGCCAGGGCACAATGCGTCTTCCCAAAGAAGCTCACATTCCATTTCTCACAGCCAGAGCCCTCGACCCAGCCAAGGCCGCCCCCTGGGTGCACCCCTGGGCCAGGCACGTGACACCCGTTGTCTCCATAGTCCTCCTTTTAAAGTTTATTCGGATGGATGGATGGATGGATGGACGGACGGACACCCGGGCAGACGGTGGGGTAGGTGTGCTATGATCCCTGTCATGGGGGGCCTTGTCTTTTAGCCGGTGGATTAGACTTGGAATAAAGTTCGTTACTAGTGGTGGGTCAGACCTGTAGTGTTGGAGTCCAGAGAAGGGGGCCCTGGGGCGGCTCCCCAGAGCTGGGTGGGAGCCGAGGGGGAGCCCCAGCCCCCAGCTCCACGGCTGTGTCATCTCCTCGGGCAAGCGCACCTCCCCGCCTGGCCCTCGGCTGGTGGCGTCTTCTCTTCATCTCCAGGGAGAGGGCGCCTGTCTCCCAGCCCGCTCAGGGCCACCTGGGGACTCTCGGCTTCTCGGGGAGAGGCCTTGGGGAGCGAGCCCCCCAACAGAGGACTGAGTGTCTCTCCCAGGATGGCGCCCAGCTGTTAAGAACATGTCTCAAGCTCCTCATTTTAAAAGTCGCTCAGAGAGAGGCAGGTTGAAAGCAAAGGCGCCGTGGATGTTGCAGCGGGGAAACAGGACCTTGGAGACAGAGGGAAGACAGCAGCAAAGTCACAAAGCTGAGTAACCGACTTGTGGCCGCCTCCCAGAGGCAAAGGGCTGGAGCTGGAGGCCTCTAGGTGGACGGCTAAGTGCAAAGCCCATTAGGATCTTGCCTCCCAGCACGCTCTATCCACTGAGCCAAACCAGCCAGGGCTTGCTGTTCTTTTCAAAGACAAGGGAGTCACCTGTGAGAAAATCTAGTGTTGGGGAGATGTCACTAGAGGAGCTTGGTCATTTTGGACAAATATGAGGACTGAGACCGGAACCCACGCGTCCCTGGCCACATCCACAGCGGCTCCTTTAAGGGGACGTGGGTGCAAATCCCAGCCCAAGTGAATGCAAGAGAGACCGTACTCCAGGAGCAGGAGTGAAGACTGGCGCGTGGCACCTCTAAAGCCTGGGCTGAGGGTGGGGGGTGAGGTTCCCTCCCTCCCCCCTCTTGGCACAGGAAGAGCTCGAGGAGGAGGGGCACGGGGCCACCCCGCACCCACGGTCCTGCCAGGGCCAGACCCAGCACCAGATCGGCCCACACGGCAGCTGCCTCTTCACACCGTTCTTTCAGAAAGAACCCTCCACGGAACCTGGGGGGCCCGGGAGCAGAACGGAACCCAGGGAACAGAGAGAAGGCGTAGGCTGGGCCTATATACACTGGATTTGGTAAATTATTTTCTGAAGTCACTGGGGCAGTTAAATGACATGGGACACAAGTCCAGTTTGCAAATCAAAGAAGTTTTATGCAATTCAAAGAAAAAAGTTACATCACACATATTCATTTAAATATGACGTCAAAGTCTGGTGTACAGGAAACATAATTCCAAGACATTTCAAATTTTATTACTGAAGCCACTTAAAAGGCTCAAAGTCAACAAAGATCAAGCAAAAGTGCTCAGGAAATAAAGTGCACTGGGGGGCGGGCCGCACGGGGGAAGGAGGGGGAGGCTCCGCCAGGGCGCCCAGAGCCGCCTGCCGCGGGGCTCCACGCGGAACCAACCAAGGGTGGCTCTCAGGACAGAATACTTCAGACAAAACTGTTTCCCAACTTGCCGTCTTTCAGGGACAGACAGAAGGCAACGGAAGTCTGTTTCCAGGAGGCATTTCTACATCCGATCAGGAATGGAAGTGCAAGTCAAAACCACGGGCAGCCCATCTCCTTAGAAACGCTGCTCAGAGCATGACATTCCGTGTGACGCGCGTGCAAGCACTCCACCTTGGGGACCCACCACCACATTGGCAGGACTAACACTGTTTTGCATAATGAAGGAAAATACGCAAACTTAATGCCGCCTCGGCCATGCACAGAGTGTTCATGCTGATTTAAAGGTATGAGTGGGAGAGAGAGGACTGGCGCTGTGTGCATCTAATTGGTGTTCTCTTGCATGAACCTCATGATATTTATTCAGCATCTCACCTTACCATCCTTCTAATAAAGGTAAATGCCAGGCCCAAGAGGCAAAGCCAAACTCTGAACACCGGCACAATGGACACCATCCCTCCGTTCCTTCGCACGTTCTGCCGCCTGGATTCTCGTGCCGCCAGGGGCAGGCGCTGTGGAGCGAGGGCCTGTGCTCACAGCTTCAATGTCGGTGCCCGCGGTCTACTTCCTGTCGGATTGCAAAACACCCCCATTGCAACGAGTTTTCTGTGTGATCAGTTTCCTTCAAACACCGTGAGCGAAAGGGCAGCTGGCTGGCACTGCTGCCATTCAGCATAACTTGCATTTCCTCCAGTTCTCAATGGATCACGGAGCCGGACCACTGGGCTGGGCCGCCGTCTGCACGCACCTTCGCCTGCATGTGCAGAGTGCAGACCTGTACTTGGGTGGGAAGTTCCTCCCACCAATGAGACCACTCCCTGCTGCTCTAAGAAGTTGCTCTGCCCACAAAAATACTACGGATGAGGCCACAGTAAAAGACCCTGACAACTGGGCAGCTGGGTTGCGTGCTTACGGCATCTTTTTTTTCTTCTTTTTTGCCCCGGTGTTTGAGGTACAAACACGGAACTGCGAATGCTGTGCTCTCCACAGAGCGCAGACGGATCCTACCGAGGCTCCCTGACCACAGGGTGTCTGTCTGTCTGTCTGTGGAGTGTGTTTAAGTCACCCTCTGGGTACATCCTGGACAAGTCACAGCGCGGACACAGGCGACTAGTTCTATGCAACCAAAATTTTGATCCTTGGGCTACAGCTGCGAAGGAATGGCTGCCTGGCACGTCCCCGGAGAATGTCATGAGGAAGCTGCCTGCCACGCTTTTCTCCCCATTTCTCTAAGAGACCCTGTCAACCAGTTTGATTCTAAACAAGTCTTAGCTCTAAAAGGCCTGATTACAAACTTGCGATTTTTTTTTTTCTGGCTGAATAATGTTTCAAGGTTACTGAAAGAAGGGTTCTTATAAAAACGTGAACCACTGAAAAGACTGCAAAATCATCTATCTAGAAACTGGTGATCGGAGTACCAACAATATAAATCTTTTCATAAAAAAAACAGTATAAAGTCATACCCTGTCTCGTTTCTACAAAACATGAATAGAAAGGCTGTAAAAATCCAGATTTTGTAAAATTTATTGCCGAAATGTTTGAATGCTGGTGATTTAGATCGTCAAATTTTCTTCCATTTCCGTAAAAGACTTCTGAAACTACAAAAGACACTGAACAGGGTCTCAACCAAAAAGAGAACAGGTAACATACGCTCATCAGAACCAGCCTCTGCTCTTCCCCAGCCCCCACGACAGTGGTTTTGGGAGAGAACCATCAGTCCGTCCGTCCCTGAAAAGCCTTTTTAAGTTCCCTGCCGGCCCTTCAGGCCGAGGCCGGCCTGCTCACCAGCGGGCTCCTGGGTTTCTCTGCCGAGGCGATTCGGTTCAGTTTGCCAACCTCTGCCTGCCAGCCAGGTGGCTTCTTGGTGGTCACGTGACGCCGGGCGTGCTTGGTCAGGTGGTCGCTGCGCATGAAGCGCCGGTCGCACACGGGGCACGCGAACTTCTTCTCCCCGGTGTGCGTCCGGCGGTGGCGGGACAGTTCGTCCGAGCGCGCGAACCTCTTATCGCAGCCGTCCCAGCTGCAGCTGAACGGCTTCTCCCCTGGCGGCGAGAAAACACATTACAGAAAACTAAGCGCTCCGCACCTATCACACCTGTGTTGTTTTTATTTATTTTTTAAATATATTTTTATTGATTTCAGAGAGGAAGGGAAAGGGAGAGAGAGACATAAACATCAAACATGTGAGAGAATCACTGACCGGCTGCCTGCTGCATGCCCCCTACTGGGGATCGAGCCTGCCACCCCAGCACGTGCCCTTCAGTCCACAGGCCGACGCTCTGTCCACTGAGCCAAACCAGCTAGGGCTGACCCGTGTTGTTTTTAAATTTTGTTCCTCAAAATCTAGGGCAGTTATACTGGTATCGGGTCACTCAGAAGTCAAGAAATCCTCCAAGATGCATTCTTCCTGCCACACCTGAGCTGTAATGTGGCAGGGCCCAAGGATGGCCAATCTTTCAAAATAAAAATACCTCTTCACCTGTTAGCTTGTGGTAAGGGGAAGGCTTTTTTCCTTAGTATTTTTGTAAAAACATTGATTTTTAGAGCCAGAACGGTTGTTCCACTCACTGATGCATTCACTGGTTGACTGCATGTGCCCTGACCGGGGACCGAACCGTGACCTCCTGGTTCATGGGTCGACGTTCAACCACTGAGCCACTCCGGACGGGCGACACCAAGAGTTTCTATCCAGTCAGTCAAGTACACAAGAAACTAAAACACGAAGAAAAAGCCTGGTGGGACATACAGTACGCCGCTCGGGTCAGGAAGGAAGGAGATCAGGAAACACTTGTAAGAACGGCTTTGGGAAGGCCCTTCCCGGGTTCTCAGAGAGGAGAGCTGGGCAGAGCGTGGCGGGTGAAGGGCAGGATGTGGAGCTGGGGCGGGAAGGTCAGGGCGGAGAGGCAGGTGCTTGGCGGGCCAGGCTTGGAGCCTGCACCTGAGCAATCAGCCGCCCGCCCGCAGAGTGGAGGCCTAGAGCTCCCTTTGCAACGCCCGCCAACGCCAGGCTGCTCCATGCTCCAGCAGGAGCTGCCCCCTCAGAGC